TTCTCTCTCTCTCTCTCTCTCTCTCTCTCTCTCTCTCTCTCTCTCTCTCTCTCTCTCTCTCCTCTCTCTCCCCCTTTCCTTCAATTAAACTTTCATTTAGAAGTAAATATTAAAAGCACGCATTCTCTAACGCATGCTTTTAATATTTTTTATCGTTGCAATATAACACGACTACGCATGACTCACGTCCCTCCCATTTTCAAATACAAATATTTAGATGTTTACAGAATTTCTTTAATTAGTATACAAATGTATAATTTAAAAATTCCTCTCGTAGTTTTATCGAAACTGGTTTCCAAAAATAGAAATCCAAAAAGTTCCTACCTTGATGCTGGCCTCGGCTTTATGATACCAACTCTTTCTTCTTTGAATACCAGACATTCTTTTTACTTCGTCCAAGTTTCTTTCAAGCCTAATATATATGTACAATACTATGACTTTGGTTTTACACGTTTGAATGTTATCACGTCGCGAAATCAACGTAGAAATGACGTCTATGAACCGATAAAACGATACGCGATAATACGCGTGGCGGAGAAAAAATTGAGAATCAATGACATTCGATCGTGCCTCCGTGTTACCAAAACCACGACTGTCGCAAAGGCAAATGGTAAAGCAAATGGTAATGGTTGATACTGGCGTTACGATCGTTACGAAATTCGCAGAGATAAGACGCGTGGGAAAATACAAATATTCTTAGAACGTACTCGTCCTAATGTCGCGACTTGAAAAATAATCATGTACAAGACAAAATACGAGTCATCCTAGAATCATCTGAAGGCATTTGTACTAGGGCTATGTGCAATGATAGAATAACTTGATTATTGCATCATTGAGATAGAATGAGATGCAATTAGATCCTATTGCCAATAGTAATTGCTTTCAATTCTACATCACAATCAATCTTAGACTTACTTTGAATAAAATGTTAGAGCCGCAAATTGTTGTGTGTATATATCTAAATTATTTTGACTTTTAATTGAATTAATTCTAATTAATCCAAATTGCCCAATTATTCTTATGACAGAATTTCATTCTTTGAACAATGTATACTTTTCTATATTTAATAAACTGATTTACAAAGTTCCATCACATAATTTCAAGTTGCATCATACTTTATTTTCTTTTCTTGTAACATTTTTGTATTAATTTTCTTTAAATAAACATTAAGATTTATTGATTTTACTCACAAAGCCAGCAGGCTTGTCCCTTCTATTTGCCATGATCCTGTCTTCCAGATTTGTTACCTCCTTCGATACATCTCTCTAATCCTAAAACAAAATTACAAAATGGTTAGTAATAGACAAGCATATCCTCCAAATAAATAAAACTGAATTTAGATCGCAACGTAAATATTAAAAAGCACTATACTTGCAAAATTGCAAAAATTACTAATGTTTTTATTTAAAATCTCTGTTCTGAGTTAATTCAATGTAACAGAGTTCACAGAATTTTCCCTTTATCAAAGATAAAGTATATTATTCTCAGAAGTTATCTTTGCACAAACAAGACACATATTAATCATAAGTTAGTCATCAAAGAAAATATAATATCTTCATTACAGAATATAAAAATATTGAATGCATATCTAGATAAGCATTAACTTATCCTAATTATGTTATTTATCAACAATAACAAATAAATATATAATAGATTCATTATTCCCCTTTATTTCATTGTTTGTCACTCTTGCTTTGCACTTAAAAAATAAGATTTTTTTTCCTTCAGTATTCAGAATTTAGATTGAACTTGCCTGAGTGTCTTCAATCACACATCAGATATTATTTAATTTACAATATTTAAATTTGCATTAAAACCTTTCTCTCTCTTCATTAAGACTTTTCGAATTAATTTATCAAACTGGAGAAACAGAATTAAATTCCAAAGCATAACCAAGGCGCGGCGTGGGAGAAAGGTTAGTTTGGAAATAGAATTAAATTCTATAGGAATAATGTCACACGCGGACTCTCTCTGCAAATGTTGACAAGTGGCTTCAGACGAGCAAAAAAATCGGCCTTGACACGAGAATGCGATTGGATCTTTTCCGAACGAGTCGGGCGAAGTTTGTTAAATGGAGCGTTCTTCCGTTAAACAGGTTAATTCTCGGGGTGCGTCGATCTTGGGAATCTAGCCGAGGAATTTCCCTCCTGTCCACGTGTTTCGTTCTCCCGCGGCGATTTCGCATTACCTGGACACGTCGAAGGCTCCGTCGTTCGGATTTGCACGATTTTGCTACGTCGAAGTCGGATGGGCTGCTGCCCGATGTTCCAGCGTCGTCGCGGTTTTTCCAGCGAAAGGTCAGCGGTCGGCGCAGCTTAATGGCGCGGGGTCGTGAATTAACGCGTGAACGCGCGGACCTACACGGAAATTTTCAGCGGCCCTTTCTAAACAGAGCCTCGTGAAAAATGTCCGTTACCGCACGCTTACAGCACGCGCCGTTTACACTTGTTGCGACAACTCCGGCCGAATCGCGCGAACGACGCAACGTGCACGAACGCCCGAGCAGCGCGAGCACTGCTGCCAACATATGAGAACAAAATTCGCGACGATCGCGCGAATCGACAAACCGACTTCCGCGCACGAGAGACGCGCGATCGTAGATTTTTACAGTCGATTTCACCATTTCAAATTAACTTAATCAACCTTATTCTATTATTCTATTGAAATATTGATGATAAAAATGAGCATCGAGTGCCAATATAAAAAAATATCTTTATGGCGTTTTCAATTGTGCAATGAATTTTAATAAGCGTTATGCCATAGTGCATTTTCTGTATTTAAATCGAGATGAATAGATATAAAATGTGAGCGTTAGAAAAACAAAGAACGAAAAAAACAAGTACAGAAAATGCGCTGTAATAACCCGGATCAAAATCCACTGCAATCAAAATGTTAGTAAATTCTCATGTAAAATTATTGTACAGATCGATCCGCACGTCTATTAGTGTGAATAATTCTAAGGATATTAATTATCTGTATTTGAGATGATTCTAAATGTATAGCTCGGAATATAAATACTGCCTTTAATTTTCGTTTGTACCAATCTAAATTAATTTTTATCTTGGTTAATTTACTTTTCATCTCTTTTTAGTGCTAAGAATGGAAAGAGATAAAGAATAAATTAAATCGAGATTAAAGTTAATCTATATTGATAAAAATAAATGTAAAA